ATGTCTTGTACCAGATCTTTGCTGCAAGTGCTTCAAGTGCTTCAGGAACGCAGCGCACAGACCCTCGCCTTGTGCTTGTAGGTGGTTTGGGTCGTCCTTGGCATGTAGGTTTTGCCTTTGRTATACCCRAGATGATTCTGCACTGTCCAGGAGMCATGGTAGTTTGGGCACAGCACCATCATTTGTATCTGATGCAGTACATGACAACTGACCCTCTCTGCTGCAGCCAGCCTGGGTGCAGAACTAAGTGGCAGCTACTTAAACTCTGATCTAAAGTGGCCTTTCCTGCTTAAGTCTCTAGGTAGTTATGGCTTTGCTTGGATATCCTGCCCTTTTCTTTTGGTGTTGAAATAAATATCTGAGGTCCACAGCCTTTGTGCTCCTGACAGCTTCTGGGTCAGCTGACCAGCAGAGAAGTTGCTAATCCCATTTTTGAGAGATGTTCTGTCATCCTTTAAGGCCTAACTCCATCAAAACATAAACCAGTAAATTTAGCTGTGGACTCTGAATGTTGCCTCTTATGACAGACCCCCCTGCCCTTGGTTGGCTCCTCTTTCACTCTTCCTGTGAGAAACTAGGGCAGTCCCTAGTATTCAACCAACAGAATTCTTTGGATTCAAATGTGAGTAAGAATAGGAGTTGAAACCTGGATTCAGATGTTAATAATAATAATAATAACAATAATAATTATTATTATTATTATAATTAATAAATAATATTTTGCTGCAGTTCTACATGTATGATTATATTTCTGTCTGAAGAAACAGAACACAAATGAGTATAAAAAGATGCATGTGTTTTCTTGAGCTTCTGTGTATATTACTGTAATCTGACACTATAAGAAATACATTTTATATAATTGGCAGTGGCAGACACACATTCTGATTGAAAAAAATTTATTGAATGATACACTGTGTATCACTGCTGGTGACTTGCAGCAATATTTCCATAAAAGTAAAGGATAATTTAGCACTTGATAGTCAGGCCTCAAAACCAAAATAAAATGCTTTTCTGTTTCTGTACCTAACCTAGGATTCATCTCACCTCATTGCAGACATCAGTAGTGTAGACACATGTGGCAAAACCCATCATCACAAGCTCCTTTTGCAGAGAATAGAGGGAGCAGGCACTTTTAGGCCATGATTCATCTGACCTATTTACATGTCTGCTGTAGGAGGAGATGAATCACTGCCTAGACTAGATCTGTGCGGAGGATAAAGGSAGCCTAAGATGGCCAGCACAGATGTAGGTTCTTGTAAAGGTCTACAGTTTGAATTTAGGCTTTCAGTTTGGAACAACAGTTTTTCAGAGAAGAGTAAAATTTCCTAAGCCGTGTTTTCCTAGCAGAATATGTGTATGAATATATACATAGATGGTATTTTTCTTCCTGCAACAGAAACATTTGCAACAATATCTTTTGAACACTGGCCCTATATCCCCTTTTCCAAATGTTTTAACATCTGAAGAGCTGCCATTTTATCTCTCTCTGCCTCTGCCCCTCTTTCATACATACAGACAYGTGTACACATACCACATTTCAGAGCTAGGCCTTCTGAATTTTCAGCATTACCTTAAAATATATTCCTCTGTGTGTGGTAGTCAGAGCTGCTGTTATACACAGACAGATATATTAACTGGGTTTGCATTTTTAAAAAWCCCAAAGCAAAATATGCAAACAAAACCACCAAATCAAGATTTCTGAAATTTCCTTCTGTTTAAAAATAACATTTTTATTAATTTGGTTTTCTTTCTTCTAGAATCTGCTCTACACTGCCTGCAGCCTTGGTGAGGCACAGTATCATAGGAAGAGAAACATGAATTTCTGGGAACATGATGCAGAGGAAGGGGGAAGACAAGACTTGATCATCTAAGAAGGAGTGCAAGTTCATAAGTAAAGCTCTGAGATGGAAAGAGAGAGGGACAGTTGTATTATTAAGTGTAGAAGATCAGAGTTGAGAGAGTCTGGTTACTTGAGGATGATGTCCTGACAGGTACTCTTGTGCACATGCTGTAGTATAATGTTCCAGTGCATCTGTACAGCCATCTACACTGCAAATGGAAAAAGGGTAATATTTAAAAAAAAATAGAAGAAGAAATGAAACCACCCTGTTGGAGAGCTTTACAATGCTCAGCTGCTCCTGAGAAGTGCTTGGTGTAGCTACAGCAGGCAAAACATCCCTCCCATCTAGTTGTTGGCACACARCACAGCAACCCATTTATGTGAGCACCTGGTTGATCAGTTTGTCTGTGACAGATCTTGGCAYGCCCTCTCCTCTGGCTGTAAAGCTTTACTGACTTGTGTGTTTTTCCCCCCCACAAACTCTTGTCTGGCATGGGAGGACTTGGAACAGAACAACACTGGCTCTGGCAACAACAGGAAAGTGTATTTTAGATAACCCTTTAGGGTGCAAGTTTTGCAGCCATTTAAGGGCTTTTCTGTGGGKTTAGGGGGAAAGGGCTGTCTATCATCCAAAGTCTATTGCTGCAGGGTGTCTGTGACTGTGAAGGTCTTTGACAAAGGCCACAAGCATCTGAGGGCTGCTTCTGAGAAATGGATATGGGCTCATGGCYCCCTACATGGGTGAGATGCAGAGGTGGCTTGAGGAAGAGAGCGCTCTTCCACCGGTCATCCCAGTGCATCATTCATTAAATATAACACCCTACAGGAAAATCAGGGTTTCGTGTTTTCCGTACCCCCACCTGCATCATCCCTGACGTCAGTAGTTTGGAAGCACTAAAGTTAAATTAAGGCCAGAGCAGTCTAATAGGCAAGGGATAACAAATGCTAAGAAGTCAAGGTAATGAGAAAATACCTGCCATCTGGAGCTGTCATAAGCATGAATTTACATCTCTCCCCAYGAAATAAATAAATCACAGCCTGCAAAACATTACTCTCCCTGGATGCAAAGTCCCACTCCTGCCGCTGCCACCAAAAATTTTGGCWTTCCCGCTTTCTGCGTGGTTGCTGGCTTCTGCTGAAAGCCCCAGGGTGCCGTGCTTGGGCGCAGGGAGACATCTGCAACCACTGCCTGTTCAGGCACAGTGGCTGGAGCGGGATCTGTTCTGCTGCATCCGCTTGCTCCAGTCCTCGCTCTGAYGGAAAGTTTTCCTCCTGGCTCTGACAGCACCGCAGCCACTTGGGGAAGCACATGACTTCCTTGGGAGACGGTGTTTCTTATTTGTGTTGCTGGCCTCCAGCAGCAGGCATGGCACCGAGGCAATATTTATATCAGTTTTTGTAACATCATCGCAGCAGCTGCAGTTTTGGGAACTGAAGTGCTGGCTGGAAGTGGGAGAGGGAGACACACAGCACAACACACCACATAGAAATGTGGATGCAAGGGAAAAAAAAAAAAAAAAGAAAAAAAAGAAGAAAAGTAAAGAAAATTGGCAATCAGCCTACTCCCCCAGAAAGCTCATTGTGTTCCTGGGTGCCAGGGGTGCTGCTCACCCTCCAGATGGTTACCACAGGGCCCATCTGTGTAAAAGTGAGTCAATGGCAATTGCAGCTCAGGATGCGTGTGATGGGATCAGATCTGTCCCCGCAGGGTGCTTGCACTCCTGGGGAGCAGGACAGGGGGAAGGGGAGTCCTCCAGCCAGGTGCTTTTCTGTGCTACAAGCCAAACAGTTGTCAGCAGAGTTCTCATACCCTTCAGCYGTGAGAAAGTGTAGTGCAACACTTGTGTGCAGGTAATCAGGCTGCCCCCAAAACTGCTGCAGCCCTGTCCTGTGCCTGGGCAATCAGCCCTGGCAAGCTCCTTWTCCCAGTTACAATGCCATCCTGGTGTAGCCATGCTGCTCCCAGGCCCCCAGCTTGGATCTCTGACTCACACTCTGCAGGTGTCCTGACATCTGTGGAACTRGCTGTGAAATCCCCAGGGAGGTAGGAGGGGGTCCTGTCTTCCAGATGATTTACTTGCTGCTTCCCATTGCATGAATGTGACCACATTCTCTCCTTTTCTGCCCCTTGGCTTGATTCCAATGGTGTTTGGCYAGTGGAGCTTTTCTGGTGCTATGGGGCTGGGAGTCACAAATTCCAGAAAAAGAGTAGAGTTCTCTTCACTGCATCTCTTTGTTCCTTCATCTGTCCTGCAGCAGAGGCAATTAAGAGCCCTTGGCAGGTCCCATGTGTGTAACAGGAGCTCTCCACTGCCCAYGCATGCTCTTAGCAGGTGGTTTCTACCTCTGCTGCAAACAGCAGTGGCTGCCAGGCCTGAATTCTTCCCTGTCCRTTGCTTTTTCTCCACAGAGCAGTGGAGCTACATCTGACAGAGGAGGTGTCACACAGTGTCCAGCTACCTTAGAGTTTGGTGAAACAAAAGAAAGTTGACACGAAGCTGAAATGTTTCCACGAGGTGCTGCCCTGGACCTGTTAGGTGATGCACATTTTATCACAGGCAAGCGCTGAAGGTCATTTGACCCAAATATAGCTGTGTTGTGCAAAATACCTTCATTGTCCTGGACAGCACAAGATCTCTGGAAAAAGCTGGGCTGTCAATGAGCTCTCCACATTCACGTGTCCTGCAGTCCTCTGAACAGATTGCTATGAGGACAGAGCAGGGGACCATCACTGTATCTGTCTGGGAGGACTCTTGGAAACCAACACCTGAAGCTGCATCACGGGCTCTCTGAGCTAGAGACACCATCAAAGACTGGCAGYGTGGTAAGCATGGCTTCTTGAACTATGTCCCTCAGAAAATCTGCTCCAGTCTCCCACTTTATAGGCCCTTRTGCCATGATCAGTCTTACTTTGTCTCAAGAAGAACTGAGATTTCAGTGTTTCCTTAGCACAAATGCCCTGAAATGCTCATGGTGAGCAGAGTTGGGGTAAGACAGGCAGGGAGGGGAGGGAGAAAGAAAAGACATGCCAGCTGTGGTGACAGATCTTCCGAGGTGGCGTGAGGAGGGCTTGGCAACCCTTTCAGCACTGTCCTATTGCAACAGGAAGGAGGAGGATATACAGAGGTTACTTAAAAGCCCCCAACTTTTTCCCTGCTTCTATTGCATTGCAGAAATTCTGCAAGGGAGAAGAAAAAAAAAAGACTATCTGAAAATAAGGTACCCTTGCTAACTAAAAAAACTTCCTTTTAGAGCTTACATCTATTAAATAATTGCTACATTTTAAATTGCTGTTTTCAGGGACTTTGGGAAGTTTTCTTCTCAGTCATTAATATTTTCTTAGAAGGGTGGCATGGCTTTTTCACTGCTACATGCTTACACTGAAATAGATGTGAAAGCAGTTTTGAGTAGCTCAAAAAGAAGTCTCTGATCAGCCTACATCTAAGAWTTCCCTTAAGGACGTTAGTGGGAAAGAAATAAGTGGATAAGTGCTTTTTTCTTTTCCTTTTTTTTTTTTTTGCTTTACCCCCCTCTCTCCTCCCCCACCTCCTCTTTTTCTCAAAAGTGGATTGTCTGGGTGCAGGAGTTAGCCCTTTACATACTGGGTGTTTGTGTGCATAGGGACAAAAATACAATTCTCCACTAATCATCCACAGGCTGTTGTAGGCTGTAATATTTGGCTTGATTGCAGTATAACTTATAATGTCATTTTTATTAGGGAGAGGTAGTGTGTGATGCACTTTCTGAAAATATAATTTGCTATTTTGGATTCAATAATGCTGTTATGGAGGATGAGAGAGCRAATGATTTTCGAGTGCTTTTACCTGAAACTTCCTAATGTTTTTTAGTGCCCTGCTTCTCTCCTAGGCAAATACTTCTGTGTTAGACTTCCCTCTCCTTCTCCCRCCCCCTCCTTCTTTTCTTATTCATGTGTTTTGATGAACACAAAATGCCTTCCAATCCTTAGAGAGCTGTACTTATCATTAGACTGATGTGTTCTGCCTCTCAGGTTTTATTTATATAAGTCTAAAAATGTGTAGCTCACTGGCACCCCACATTGCTTTTGGCTTCTCCCATCTTGCATGTGCCATGCTAGTTCATGTTTGCTTTTTCTTGCASTCTTTCTTTCATGGTATTACCACGTTTTTTAGTACAGGATGTCTGAAACAACGGGCATCAACGAGGAGAAGAAACTTCCTTTGAATGGGAGAAGAGCCATCCCACCAAACAACTCCAATGATGAAGAAAATGAGGTCCCTGAGATGGAGGCTTTTGGATTGATACCTAGGGGATTTAATCCTAGAGGTACAGTGTACAATTAAGCCACAAGCTTATTTTTACATCTTCCATACTTATCTCAGCACAGGTCTGTAAAATACATCTAAACCACTTTTTCCTTACATCTTTCCAACTCAGACAGTTTTTCTTGTTGCTCATGGGAAAACTTACTGAAACCACCTGTGTCCATGGAAATGTTAGCACCGTTTATGGGTAGGTAAGGGGAGAAGTGGAGAAGCTGAGTGACCAGTTTTCAGCTTTAACTGTGGGACTGATTAAAAAAAAGTAAGAATGGGTTTTCCCTGTTTGATCACAATCACAGAGTCACTCCAGGAATCTCCTGGCTTCAGGCAGGGCTGTGGCAGCATTGGAGTGAAGAGCCAGAAGGAGTCTGCTCCCTTAATGGCCCTTCTCATTTATATGGCCTTAAAATGCCTATGAAACTGCTGCAAAATGTTGTCTGGCAGGTAAAACTTTCRTTGTAGTTGTACAGCTCACTCATAAAAATTAATATGAGACTAAAAGRAATACCCATATTCTTATTCTCCTGTGAAAAATGTTTGAATCATTTGCTGGGGAAACAAAACAATATCATGGTAGAGGATAGACAAATAAAAGTATTCTCCCAGGGTCAGCTCGTTGGAGTCAACCAGAAATTAAAAAATATGTAAGATTAGGTTTTAAACAAAATAGGATAAACTTCTGAATGAGTCACTAATGAAATGATGTAACRTTTTTGCCTGTTTGAATTGAACAGCAGAATTTGTTGAACCTGGTGGTTCACGGTAGCTGGATGTAATAATTTTTAATGCTCAAAGGGAACTTTGCATCCAGAGTTGAAGGAGTACTTAATAAATGTGGACAAGAATTAATTACTGAATTTCACACATTGGGAAACAGGCAAAGAGAATTTAAGTGACAAGTTGCAAAGCATTATTTCTGTTAACCTAATCATGTGCCTTAACCACACAGCCCTCACCACACACCCATCCCCACCCCCATCTTAATATACACACATTTCTTTTAAAATCATTTATTTTTAAAAATGCCTGAACAAACCAACTGGCRTGTTAGGACTACAGAAATTTTTGCTCGAGCTTATTCTGACAACCCTGTAGCTCTGGGGCAAGTATGTGTGTTTAAATTGTCAAAYGCAATGCAGTGTAGGTCCCAGCTAAACACTTTCAAACCCAATATGCTCACAGAAAATGGAGATGTGTAAATGTGGGATACCTTAGAAGGAATACAGCCTGTAGCTAAAGCCCACTAGTACCAGGAGAAAAATTCCTATTGCTTTTTGATGTGCTTCACATCAGGCTCTGAATGAAGTGTGGTGCTTGTGGGTGGCAGCCTCCTGCTTTTCACAAATTCAGTGGAAACTTAGGAATGTCAGGTCAAGTTAGTTGAGGCAGGAGCCCAGCATGTGCTTAAGGTGATGCTACCATTGAGAAAAACATCCCTTGTCCAAAGTAAGAGTTTGTGTGGCCATTGGGTAAACCTGGCTATGGGACTGGTATGGCTGAAAAATAAATCTCTACATAATAGCAAAACTCTTTTTGTACAGTAGATCAGCTCTGCTGTGAAATTCTCTAATGCTTGTAGCAAAAATATGCAAGGTTATCTGAAGRGTCACCTGAAGGGTCCCTGAAGGGACTGCAGCAGCATTCCTGTTTTGGTGCATATCAGCTGTGATCTCAGCCTGTGGTACCAGCCAATATAAGTGTGATGCCKGGATATACTGCTTGGGGTAAGTCACCCGTCCGACCACATTAAAGATTTATTGCCCCATGGAGCTCAGCCTTACATTCAGGAACTAAGCTTGCCCTGGAGCGTTCTCAGTATTTTGCTTGGGGGTTAAAATGAGTATTCATGGGCAGAGCAGGARCAGCCCAGGGTGAAGGGGCTCTAGAGCTGTGAGCCCATCCTGGCAGAGAGCTGCTTGTGACACCTTCCCCTTCTCCTCCCCCCCTTCACTTCTGGATTGTCCAGATTTTTTTGTAGTGGTTCCCTGATTTTGTTGCCATAACACACTGAAAAAAGCATGCCAATGCTTTTAACTCTGCTGTTAAAACTGAGGTGTTTTCTAGCCTCTGGACACCTGCTGTAAACATCTACACACCTGTGTCTTCACCTGTGTCAGACTGTAGTCAGCACAGAGCCATTCAGTGAGTGGAGGTGAGGGCACAGGTTGCCAGAGAGTCTCTGGATGTCAGTTCAATGGATGTCAGTTCCACGGTGATCTGTACCCTTCTCTCAGCTCCACCAACTGCAGCAACCAGCCATCAACTGGCCATAATAAGGAGTTATATACCAGGCTCACATCATTTAGATRCCTAAATTTAACTGAATTCTGCCCTTGATCTGTGCAGTGTAGGAGTCTACAGCTGAGCTAGTCACCCTCGTTTCCCTTGACAGCCAACAGAGAGAAACAGGCATTTTTAGGGTGTGATTCATTTGACCTATTTTAGCTACTACTCTGGGATGAGGTAAGACCCTGTGCTTGCCTAGCTCTCTGCTGACACCCACTTCTCCTCGGCTGAATCACAGCCGGGGCGAGCACGGCGGCTGCCAGGGCCGGCTGCGTCCCCAGCCCGGTCAGCGAACTGCCCGCTGCCGGAGCTCCGGGTGGGACGAGATGCTCATCAGGGGGACGGAGAGCCTCTTCAGCAAGAAGCCTGTGTCTCTGGGAACATCCCTGTGCCGTGTCTTTTCCCTGGCTCATCCGGGCCAGCTCATCTCACCGCGGTGTGTCGGGAGTGGGCTCGGTGGGAGTACACAGCCCAGCCACCCCACCCTTCTTTGCAAAGTCCGGCGACTCGCCAGGCATTTGTGCTTCCCCTCCTAGTGGAGTGATGGGCACTTTCCCGTGGAAATTCACGGTTTTTTTTTTTAGTAATTCAAAACCCTTTCTCTCTGGTTGTCCAAGGAAACCTGCTGTTTGAAGGCTGTTTTTTTAATTTGAAAAACCTCTCAAGCTTGTGCTTATTTATTTCTCTGCAAGCTTACAAAAGCCTTAAGAAGGCATCACACTGCTGACTCTTGCAGCAAACCTGCTTGCACTGAACAACATCCCAGGCTACAGGCAAATCCTCAAGTGGACCTGACTTCAAAGAAGGCCTYGATGGCCACCTGTCCCTCAAATAGATGAGTATTGCCTGGAGCTTTCCTTTGGATCACAYCCTGATGCTGGYGTTAGCACTTCCCATTATCATGCTYGTGTTTTGCCCTTCATAATTGCCATTACTGTAATTAGCACAGGCACAGCCATGGGTTATTTTCATCTGGCAAGCTTAAGGTACATTTTAACACTGAGACCAAAAATTAAATGYGTTTTCTGCAGATGTGTCCGGTTGGGTTCTGACAGGCGCCGTGTAAAGTCCTGTGATAAAGTGTAGCAAATACTGAACTGAAAGCTYAGGGTGGCTTAGCTTTGCAGTTCCTTGAAGGGGCTAACATGCAGAGGARGGGTGGGGTCACTGTTGCCTTTTATTGCAGAACAGGAGATAAAAACAAAACAAACGCTCAGTTCCATTTTTGTGCCTCTTTGGAAGGAGGGAGCAGCTGAGCCACTTTTTTGTTGGTAGCGTCATTCCTCACAGAACCCCAAAATACACACCTTTTGAATGCGGTGCTTTTGGCCCAGATGGGGTTGGGAGATAAAAGGGGAGAGACTCTCCTCTGTCCCTGCTTTATCCCTGTACAGGAAATTCCTGCCTTGTGTAATTTTATTGTGAGTTTTGTCAGCATTTTTGAGAGAGCACTGGTAAGTTTTTCAAGAAGGAAGGTGCAGACATGCCCTACTTCACAGAGGGGCAGTGAGAATGATTTCTGAGCAAAATGTTCCATACAGACATCTCTCTAACTTCAGCCAGTGCTAAAGGCAGTGGCGGTTACAGCAACAGAAGTTACTCCARAAGCCTGGTGAATTGAGCAGAGAATAACAATAACATTGTCATGGGACTTTAAGCCTGACTCAGGATTGAACAGAATATTCCAGCCTTTTTGCAGATTTGGGTTAGCAGGAGGCAGATTGTTTTGGTTCAGTTATGTAGGGCTTTTCCATGAAAAGTTCCTTATCTTGTCATGTCCTCAGGCATATTCCTTTCTTTCAGTTTCCTGAAGGACATGGCTAGGGAGCTGAGGGGCGATGCAAGCACGAGTGGGACCTCCTCYCATTGCCATTGCTCCCATATCTCCCATTAGCTGTTGCCCAGAGCCCAGGCTGGGCAGGAGAAGGACCATGCTGACCATGCTTCCCATCCAGGGAAGGTGCTGCCTGCAGGGCTCTGCTTCTTGTCTGGAACTGACAAATGAAAGGGGCCACATTCAGCCCTCAGTGACTTGAATGTCCAACTCATTTACTGAGCACATCATTCTTGCTCACAGTGTGCTTAGTAGAAGGCCAAATTAGCCACCATCACAAGTACACAGCTCCACCAGCTGCCCACTTTTTGCCAGGCGTGAGTTTGGCTCTGTCACCCTAAGTATAAAATGCAGGAATTAGCTTGTTTCTAACTATCAGCACCTGGAAAGACAAGCTGAGAGCTGCAAATCTAGCTTTACTCTTCTATCTCTCTCCTGGTGGTGACTAGTAATGGCCCTCCTCCTCCTCCAGGCAGAGGTTTCATGATTATGTGCCTAAGAACAATGTCCAGTTCATTTTCATGTGTTTTCTCATACTGTTAGAAGACTCCCATTGTGCAAATTCATGGAGTGCTACAGTCATGTAGCTTATGGTGACTGCAGGTGGCTGTGCCTGTCCCAGTGCCACCCCACACTGGTCATTAGCTGAACAAACTCTTCTAGCAGTGCTAGGCTATAACCCTTTAGATAGCCCTAATTTGAAGGGAGCAAAGCTTTGCTCGTGCATGTTACAGACACCTATTGCTGCTTGCCTGTAACTCTGTGTTGTAATTATATGCTGTAATGTTATATTTAGTTTTCAGAAGAAGACACTAATAGCAGTGGAGGTGTACTGAGAAGCTGAGTCTAGACACATGCAGTACACCCAAACCTTATSTAATGCAGGCAATCCAAACTCTCASCTGAATGCATGATCATTATCTGCCTCTCAGGCTCTTCAGGTCTCAGTACTGGTGGCATTTTGCAAACATTAAAGTATTTAAGTGTCACAAATCCTCAGGGAATTTGCATTTTACAAATGGGTGACTGCAAGAAGGGTGACACAAAGCCCCAGGTGTCAAAGTCCGATTGATTGCACTGGTAAACTTGTGACAACAAGGCCCAGACTTACGGAAAGCTGGTGCCAATGGAAAGATGGGGCCAGACTCTACTTGGGGCCATCCAGTTTCCAGTGCCTTGAAACACACTCTTGCTGTGGTTGCTTTTGCCATGCACTAGAAGCCTTGTAGCCTCTGTGAAAATGGCAGATGGGCAGAATGTTGGTCCATGAGTCTCTGCTCAGTCAGGAGCATGTAAGCCCCAGACAGATCGAGCATGCTCCTATTGCATGGTGTTCCTTCCCTGCAGAATGTGAGGATATGGGCTCTAATGATGTTGACATCAATATTGACATTTCAACACACTAACTCTTTTCCCCATGCTTATTTACGTGTCTCTGCAGATTACCTGCGTGTTGTGGATATTTATATGTTCAAGGATCCTCAGGAGATCAACAAGCAGGAGCACCACACTGACAAGTACTACAACCCCAAGCTGATAGTGCGTCGGGGACAGGCTTTCCAAATCCGCATTGACTTCAACCGACCCTACAGGCCAGAGACGGACCAATTCTGGCTGGAGTACTTGATGGGTAAGTGTCTGACAAAGGCTGTGTCTTATCAGCAAAGGGTTAGTCCCTCATAAACAGGAGCACAGCAGAACTTAATGGCTGGGTCTCTTCCTGTTATGATTGATAAACCATAAAAACAGGCTTAGCCATAGGYAAGGAAGTGTTTTTCTAAACAGGCTTTGAATCCTTTCTTGAGAAAATCAGAATTTCATGTGAGAGAAGAAGGAGCATAATCTTGGGGTTTCTGTTTCATAAGAAGCTGTACTTTTGAGCTTTCAGAGTTATATCTGGTTAATGCTGTATGGCAATGCTGAAAGGCAGGTGAAATAGGAAACATCTTTCGTTAGTGTCTAGGAGGTGTAGGGAGGAGGAGTCTGTTGTTTGAGGTAGGAGAGGTGACTGTATGAACTGAGATAGCAAAATATTGATTACATAAAAAGGGGAAGTTACACAGGGTGGAAGAATCTTGCACCTTTTCAGCCTGCATTTACAAACAATTAATAACAAGAGAGAAAGTTCAGCAACTCTAATTTTGGACCAGAAACAAAACCATACAATCATTGAATCACTAAGGTTGTAAAAGCCCTCAGATCATTGAGTRTATGCGTTACCCTAGCACTGCCATGTTTTCCACCAAGCTATGTACCCAGGCAGGGGCAGTGATTCCACCACTTCCCTGAGCAGCCTATTCCAATGCATGACTACTCTGTCAATGAAGAAATGTTTTTCCCAATATCCARTCTAAACCTGCCCTGGTACAACTTGAGGCTATTTCCTCTTGTCCYATTGCTTGTTACCTGGGAGAAGAGACTGACCCCCAGCTGGCTACAGCYTCCTTTCAGGCAGTTGTAGRGAGTGATAAGGTCTCCCGTGAGCCTCCTTTTCTCCAGACTAAAYRCCCCCAGCTCCCTCAGCTGCTTCTCACAGGACTTGTGCTCTGCTCCAGACCCTTCATCAGCTCCATTGCCCTTCTCTGCACATGCTCCAGCACCTCAGTGTCTTTGTTGTAGTGAGGCCTCACCAGCACTGAGAGGTTTACTCAGGATGATATTAGAGRCTTTCTTGATTAATTGCAGAAAGAGCAAGAGAGTTTTTTCCTCATGCTGAGAAGTGTTCATCAGAGGCCCAGGTCCTAAGGTACCTGGTGACTCATTGAAGGAATGGGACTAGAGAAGGGCATAACCTCACCAGAAAAGGAGAAAAGTAAGAGGGTATCCTGTCATGCTCAAAAGATGACCCCACCACATTCTGGTCCCTACAATACAATTCTTGGAAACCCCCATCTTCATCTGGATTGATCTGGGAGCTTCTGTTTTAAGACATCAATGTTCTCCTTATCAACTCTTTAAAGTAGGTTAAAATTGATGTTTTTATTTGCTTTCCTATGAAATGCAGCTCTGAAATTTCTAGTGCTGAGTCTTTTCCATCGTTGAATTATGATGATGTGGCCATTTATTAGATTTGTTGGCTTCTAAAGCTAGATGGGCGTTTATCTCTTAAACATATGTGCAGTGAAAATGTTACTGCCTGCACATTTTTTTTCATGGGTCTCTTCTTTCTAATTTAAATTAGGGTTGGGAGGCATGTTATGACAGTCCAGTGAATGATTGGCTGAACAGCCACAAGTGCCTTTAAAAATTTAATATGCATAAATATCATTAGTTCTTCTGGGATTTAATTAAATTYAAGATTGTTCCCTTAATCTTTATATGTTTAAAACAAACAGCTGTATCAAGAAGAAGTGGAAAATGGAACATTTGTTTTTTATTGCACTCTGTGAAGTTTGCATTTGTTTTAATCAGATATTCTATATTGGAAGAAGAAAATTAACACTTCTTTTGACATTGCACAATCTACTTAAGAGAACACATTTACTTATTTTTCTGTTGCTCTTTCTTAACACATTCGTTCATGGTTTGTACCTTGAATCTCTAAGCATGGATAAAAATCCCCTCATCTTCAGCCATGGTAGGAATGGGGTTAAATACAGCCTGAGCCAGGGGAGTCTCTGCGATAAACACAGCTTTGAATGACTCCTTTGGATTTAGCCCTGGGTCTGTAGTGAAACTCCTCTCCCTGTTCTTCACTGTTACTGTCCTTCCTGTGAAACAGGACCGATGTCCATGTGGGGTGGCTGACAATTGGCTGCAGGAAAGTGTTGCAGATATAGGATAGTGTTCAATGCTATTGCCCTTCCCTGCTTTTTAAGTGTCTGCTTCTGAGAGCACCACTGCCCTCTTGTTGCAAGGACTTTAGCTCACTGAGATTGAACTGGGAGGTGTTCAAGGTCCTCTTCTAGGAACTGGTTAACACTCAGCASTCTGCAAATGTTTCTCTTTGTGAACATGTGGTGAAAATGCAGTATATTTGTTCTCAGAGGCTAGCAACAGGAAGCAAAACAAAACCAGTCCAAAATGAAGAAGGAAAATTCAGAAATTACGTGCTTGACTCTTGCTACTTCTCCTTTTAGTATCAAGTCCAATGTTTAATGCTGAGAAGAGAAAGGAAATTTATCTTACTTAGGAAAGACAACTGAATGCTGAATGTCTCAGTGCTATGCTCTCAAACCTTTTGTCACAGGGAGATGTGGCCATTTTCATTTTTTTTTTTTTTTTTTGGTTTGTCTTCCTGAAGAGCTGGGACCTCTCACACTGCCTGAATAGCAGAACCCAGACCAAAAGCTCTTGCCCAGGCTGACTGTGAGCAAGGGAGAGAGGCAGACACCTCCAAGCAGAGTTTAACCCTGCTGTCTTTAAGTGGGATGAACTCTCTTGTGAATTTCTTTTCCTTGCTCTATTGACTGTTTCCCATAGACCAGACTGACTTTAAGAACACTGAAGGCAGGGGAGGTGAATCCTGCCTTTTGGTACTGTCAGGCAGAAGCTATCCCTAGGGAATGGCTCAGACAACAGCCCTAGAGTAGAGGCAGCTTGAGCTCAGTGAAGCTTTTTATGCTGAAAGGAATATACCTGCTAGGAATGTGCTGAGTTTGGAAGATTAAAGTGATGGACACACAGAAATATTGGCAGGCTGTTGTAAGACGACCTTTCCAAGGAGCACTCTGTGTGTCTAAGCAGTAGATTCCAAATGGTGCAGCAGAGCTGTTAAACAGAATAATCTAAGTTGGAGGGGCCTCCAGAAGTCTCATCTTTAGCCCTTGGTCAAAGCAGGTCCGGCTTCTCCAGCATCTSTGGGCCTTGCCTTGTGAGCAGGTTTTGAGTATCTGCACGGGTGTTACCCCAAGCAATGTGGATCAGGCTGTCCAGAAATTCAGAATGGTTCCAAGTTCTGTTCTCATAAGGTACAGAGAAACTGTGTAGGGATGGCTGGGCTTGGCTCAMAGGGATTCTGTTGGAGCTGGGCAAACTCAAAGTCTCCTTTTGCAGGGCTGTGCCTGCAGTGGGGGCTGTTTATACAACAGTGCCTATGAAGCTATTCAGAAATTATTAGTTCCCAGCTYAGGGAAATTTCCCTAAGTTGACATTAATCTATCACAGGATTTTTATCTATTAAAGACTAATTTTGATCCTGAAAAATGTGACAATTKTAATGGATTGATCCTGTGGGTGTGCACAGAACTATTCTATTTCCTTATTCTCTAAAATTTACTTTCCCTTCTCTTTCTTTTGCTCCTATTTTTTCTTCTTTTGCATCATTAAAAAGATGATTAATGARGCAAGTAAAGCAAGTAGAGACTGCTTAATCCTTCTTATTGATAATGAATCAAGGGTACCTGGGACAAATGCTTCTTGTGTCATGTGAAACTAGGTCTGAAGCATTCATAGAACAATCTTTAATTACAATTATATTCCATCCACTGTCAATTTAAACACCATTTACACAGTTTAGAATTCATTGGTTAAATTGTATAAAMAAATATATMTGTAAATATATAAATACATATGTAAATATATAAATAATTCACCCCAATCTCTTGAAAGTCACTTTTACAGMTATTCTTCTGTGATGGTTCCTTATGTTTTAAGTTGTCCTTGGTTTAACAGACTGTTTTCTATAGAATCATTACCGGTCAAATTGACTGAAATCCTAACATGTGAATTAATAAAATTCAGTTTTGCACATAATCCTTTATTAAATTAGGACCATAGTTGCCTGCCAAAGTATGGAACACAATGAATGTGCCAAAAAATCCTCGTGGAAAAATATCCACTTATAAAGAGTAATTGGATGTAATTCCAGTTCTTGTGCTGGAMCTCAGCCCTGCCACAGTACCTGTGGTTTGAGAGCTGCTCCGTCACCACATATTTCCTTTGCTCATGCCCACTTCCTGCCTTTTACAAGAGGGAAGGTGAGCACCACCACATGGGTGGTACTCGTTTTGTTGGTCTGGCGTTGAAATGAAACAGGCACACCAGAAGTGCATATGCTGTGCTTGCATCTAATTCCCCACAGTGGGAATAGTTTCAGTTTGTTTGGAGCCTCAGTGAACCCAGAGGACCCAATGGATTCCTTCACCCGTCTTGATCTGTCCTGACTCCTGCCTTTGGGGTGTTGAGGGTATTTTGTGTTGCTCTTAGCTTTCCACAGTGCAAGGCTTAGCCTGGCTGAGCATGGCTCCCTCACCTGGGGCAGCCAGTTGGGTGTGAGTACTGCAAAGTTTCTATTGGCACTGCTGCACTKGCAGGGACTTCTCTAAAAAGCAGCTGTATGATGGGATGCACTTATACAGCCCTCATCTTGCTTTTAGTAATAGCTTCCAGTACGTGGCTGTAAATCCTTGAGGGGTTGATGAGTTTATATGGTGCATCCTGAYTCTAATGATGTATTTCCCCACATCCTCATAAATATTTGTCTATTTGTGTTTTCCTTAAATGGCTTCATAAATCCATATATATATTGGTCTAGCCCTAAATGTTATTATGAACTTTTTATTCATTGACGCACTTCTGGAACGACCATAAATTSCAATCCCCCAGGCTACTATCACCTTTCCACACGTATGCATGTGGGGACACCCACGCTTCCGTCCATATGCTCTCCTCAGGCTGCTATAAATCATT